ATGAAATGGATAATTGACTCAATAAAGAGTAGAAAATATACGGGCTGGGGATGTGGCTCAAGCAGTAGCGCGCTCGCCTGGCATGCGTGCGGCCCGGGTTCGATCCTCAGCACCACATACAAACAAAGATGTTGTGTCCGCCGAAAACTAACTAACTAAATAAATAAATATTAAAAAAAAGAGTAGAAAATATAAAGAAAATCACCAAAAAAAAAAAAAAAAAAAAAGAACCAAAGAAGAAATCAAAATAAGGAAAATCAATTCCCCAGAAGGCACTGGACACAGGTGTTCTGGGTTTCATTTGTTTGTTTGTACTATTTTAATAAGCCTTTTATTATTAAATGTATGTGCTTGTATTATTTTGAATAATAGTAAAGATTTATTTAAGTGTAAAATATTTTAGAGAATAGTATTTTTTCTCCCAAATATTTTGTTATAATAAAATAAACATCACATACATTTTTAATTACATAATTTACCATTTTTAAGTGTACAATTAAAATGTTGTGCAACCATCACCATTATCCATTGCCATAATTCTTTTTATCTTATAAAACTGACACTCTAGGGATGGGCTAGGGCTCAGCAGTAGAGCACTTGCCTCACACGTGTGAGAACCTGGGTTTGATCCTCAGCACCACATGAAAATAAATAAAGAAAGAAAGATACATACATACATACATAGATATTGTGTCCCTTTACAAGTAAAAAAAATTTAAAAAACATTGACACTTTAGGGCTGGGGATACAGCTCAGTTGGTAGAGTGCTTGCCTTGCATGCACAATGCTCTGGGTTCAATCCCCAGCACCACCAAAAAACAAACAAAAGTGACATTCTATATCCATAAACACTAATACCCTATTCCCTCCTCTCCTGAGCCCCTGGCAAGTGTCATTCTATTGTCTGTCTCTTGGAACTGGACCTCATAATAAGTACCTCATATAAAGAAATCATACAACATTTGTCTTTCTATGGCTACCTTATTTCACTTATCATAATGTCCTTAAAGTTCATTTATGTTGTAGCACATGGCAGAATTTTCTTACTTTTTAAGGTTGAATAATATTCCATTATATATATATATATATATATATATATATATATATATATATAATATTTTACTTATTCATTCACCTGTCTATGGGACACTTGGGTTGTTTCCATGTTTTAGCTGTGAATAATGATGCTATGAACTTGGGTGTACAGATATCTTTTAGACATCTTACTTTCAGTTCTTTTGTGTACATATCCAGAAGTAGAATGGCTGCTCCATATTGTAATTTCATTCTTAATTTTCTGATGAACCACCATTCCCACCAACAGTGCACAAGGGTGCAAATTTCTCCACATTCTTGCCAACACTTATTATTTTCCATTTTTTATAGTATAGTAATCATCCTTATGGTTTTAGAGTGGTATATCATTGTGTTTTGCTTTGTATTTTCCTAATGATTAGTGATGTTTACATCTTTTCATGGGCATACTGGTCATTGCCTATTTTCAATGGAGAACTGGGTTTCCCCTACCCCAGGATTTTTAGGGTATGATTATCTATTGGTTAATCCTGTTCACAATTATGTGAATTAGGATCAGATCCATGCATTGCTCAAATTTGAGCCTAGATATTCATAAACAAGTTTATGGAGTTGCTTTATCAACATCATCATCATTAGCAACAACAGTACAGAAGAGTTCTTTTAAGTAATAATTATAATAAAAGTAATGAACTGTGAGGAAAAATGACAGCAGTTATTAATAGTTGTGTCTTAAAATAAGATATCTAAGTCTACCATTTAGTGATACCTGAATAAAACATCTTGCTCCCAACCCTTTCCCCCTAAAGTAAAGCTTCCTGAGCTTTTTGTTGCCTTGTTCTTCAATATGGATGGATAAGCTACTTGGGAGACCTAGGCAGGAGGACAGCAATTTTGAAGGCAGCCTGGGCAACTTAGATCAAAATAAAAACAGCTGGGAACAGAGCTCACTGATAGAGTGTCTTCAGTACTGGGGGAAAAAAGACAAGAAAGTTGTTTAAATACCCAAATTCTGGGAAATTAAGAACATAAAATTTACAAAAAAAAAAAAAAAAATGAAGGCTATAGGTGCAGTGGCATACACCTATAGTCCTAGAACCGGGAAGGCTGAGGCAAGAGGATTCCTTATATACAGTTTGAGACTAGCCAGGGTAAATACAGTGAGACCCAGTCTCAAAAAACAAAACAAAACAATCAATGAAGGAATTAGAAAATAAGAGTCAAGAAAATACCCAAGAAACTGGAAGAAAAGAGATAGAAAATAAGTGAAAAGTATTACTAAGGTCAATCTAGGATCTTTAATATTTGAATGATCAGAGTAGTAGAAAGAGAAAGGGAAAATGGGGAGGAATTTGAAAAAAAAAGGATGTGATAGACCTGTTGTATAGCTTATAAGGAAGAGGGACAGAGCTGAAAGAGAGGAATTGGAGATGTATCTCTTACTAAGACTGCAAGTCCACAAAAGAAAAGTATATTGAACAAGTTAAGCAGAACACTGACCTTAACTTCTACCCTGATTCTCACAACCAGCACAAGACCAGGAGGCTTCCTTTCCCTACAGCATAGATCACTTAAATCAACGCCCCAATGCTTCAGATGTCATATAAGAGTCAAATGCAGAAGTAATTGAAGCAATGAGAAATTCCTCTCCTCAAAGACTGATTTAAACTTGAAGAAACTGTTTGAATTAGGGAACTAAACTGAGTTATAACTAAGAATTTTTCCTATGAACTGGGTAGATTGTAGATTAAAAGAAAATGTCATAATATCAAGAATCTGGAATTCAGGAAGGTGATAAAAGCAGAAAAATAAGGGGAAAAAGTCATTTGAAATAAAAACAAAAGGCTGTAAAAGAAAGGAAGTGGAATCATAGTACACTACTTTACACTGCTTAATTGTACAGAGAATAATATTCACACCATCATAATATAAACACTTGACTTCCCACCCTTACAGTTAATCAATAGACAAAACAATTATGGTTATAATACAGTGCACAGGTATTTGCCACTGGGAATATGAAGACTTATAGTTCAAAGCCAGCCTCAGCAAAAGCGAGGCACTAAGCCACTCAGTGAGACTCTGTCTCTAAATAAAATACAAAATAGGGCTGGGGATGGGGCTCAGTGGTCCAGTGCCCATGAGTTCAATCCCCAATACCAAAAAAAAAAAAAAAAAAAAAGGCAAACTTAAGATTAGAAAACTAACCAACGGAATGGAGATGGGGTAGTGCAAGTGAGCTAAATCTTCATTCGTGAGATCAAGTTAAAAAGATGATGATGATGATAAATATTATCTTAATAATAATAAATACTATCCAAATTTTGTAAATCAAAAAAGAGTTTAAGGGCTGGGGTTGTAGCTTGGTGATAGAATGCTCAGCACCACATAAAAAGAAATACATAAAAATATTGTGTCCATCTACAACTAAGAAAAAAGTTTTTAAAAAAGAGTTTAAGTATACTGTTTAGAGATAACAAAGATAATATCAGAAGACCCGAAAACAAAATTAGAGACAGTGATCCTTTTGAGGAGTGAGGCTATTTATTATAAGCCATTCTATACCACCTAATATTTTTATGCATGTAATATATTCATTTGCTGATATTTTAAAAAAATTAATGTTTCTTGATTAGATAACTATTATGGTTTAAATATGAATTATCCCCTCTAAGCTCATGTGTGAAATAATGCAAGAATTATTAGAGGTGAAATGATTAAGTGAGGTACAAGCTAACCAGTGGATTAATCCATAGATTGAATAACTGGGCAGTAACTATAGGTAGGTAGGGTGTGGCTGGAGGTGGTAGGTCAATGAGGGTGTACATTTGAGGTTTATAGTATGTCCCTGGAGAGTGAAGCTTTCTCAGCTTTCTGTTTGCCATGTCCTGAGCTGCTTTCCTCCTCTATGCTCTTTCACCATGATGTTCTGACTCACCTGGGGCCCAGAGGTATGGAATTGACCAACCATGGATGGATCTCTGAAACCACAAGCCCCAAATGAACCTTTTCTCCTTTATATTGTTTTTGTCAGATCTTTTGGTCATAGTGGTGAACAAGCTAAGATAACACTTATGTATGGTTCCATATTCCAAACCTATGAAAAGTATATAATGAATTCTCCACTCTCTCTACTCCCTCATACCCACTTCCCCTCTACTGAAGTGACTGATGTATTTATAAGCAAATATATGGGTATGTTCATGCATCTATTTCTCTTCTACCTTTTTGCAAATAGTAGCCTACTATACACACTTTTCTTATATCATGCCTTTTTCATTTAACATTATTTCTTAGAGATTTCTGTATTCCAAATAAGATTTATCATAGTTGTTTTATATGGATAAATCATAATTCATTTAATTAGTTCTCTACTGATAAACATCTAAGCTTTCCCCCAACTCTTTGTTACTTCAAACAATGCTATAATCAATTGATATGTACTACAAGAAAAAAAATTTAAGATAATCTGCTTACATCTCCCAAATAGACAATACACTTGTTTTTTGCCTCTGTATCTTCGGTGTCTGTCATAGTGCTTGGCATATACCAAGTATTCAATTAAGATTTGCTAATTTAAATTGAGTTAAATTATAATGAGGAAATTAAGTTATGTAAACATTTAAGTGAGATAACTGTAAATCTGAAATCAAGTTAATGGGATAGCAAAGTCAAGAATCTATAAAAATCAGTATCACTTTGCATACTCAGTCTTCCTCTTATTAGCTTCCTATATACTCAATATCCAATCTGCTAAAGAGCTTCTAATTCCTCATAAAACCATTAGCAAATATAACTAGAAACAGAGTTGTTAATGATTACCACTGAGAGAAATAAAATGAAATGAAACAATCAATTCCCTGAATGAGAAATTAACCCATCATTATATACACATGTCTCTGTCATACTTACTCTGAGCTCTTTTGGGCCTGTATGGATTGGAAGCAAGTGTAGAGTACCCGACCAGTCTGTTTATTAGAAAAAAAAAAAAAAAAGTCACAGAAAGAAGGACTGATCATTTTTATGTACTGAGAATTTCATAGCAATTTAGTTACTCTAACCTAAAACCCAAAGGTCCTTCTGGAAGTAGAAGACTAACACAGATTCTGAAGATGGAATATGCCATAAATGAATTCCTTTAAGAGGGAACATATACTTTGTCAACATAAAATGGTCACAACCAAACATCTGCTCATGTGATACAACTGCTAATAAATATGAAATCCGAAAAAAGTAAGAATCAGAACAAATTACTATGTTGGAAGCTGACAAACTCATTCAATAAATACTTATGATAACAATGTAGAAAGCATTTCAAATGAAGTAAAAAGTTCTAGATATTGAACTTTAATGTTCTGGAAAAGAGTGATTTCATGGAAAATATTCATTATTAACACTGATTCTGAGAATGTAACTAATCTCACCACTTTTTATTATCTCCACTTCTACCAACATGATCAAAGCCCCATCATCTCTTGACTATCTGGTTTCACTGATGCCATGGATTTCATACCCTCCATCCCCATTTAGTCAGTTATCAATACAATAGCCAGAGAGATCCTATTAAAACATAAAGTCGCCCTCTAGTGGTTTCCCAAATGAGAGTCAAATAAAAGGTCTTACAAGATCTGGCCCAATTGTCTTTCAGACCTTATAATAACCAACTGTATTATCATATAAACCCAGATACTCCCAAGATGAAAAGAGGCTAATAGGAGACTGGGGTAATAGTGTAAAACTAAGACTCTCTGACGTACACTTGGATGTACATTTGTGATTTTCTTCACTTTGCTCCAGCCATATCAACTTCCTCAATGTTCCCTGAACATGCCAAACTCACCTTAGGGTCTTTGCACTGGCTATTTCCTCTGCCTGGAATGCTCTTCCCCCAAGAAATCCACAAGACTTGCTCCCTCACCTTCTTTGGGTCCTGACTCAATAACTTTTTTCATTGAAAATTTCCCTGGCCATCCTATTATAATTACAAAGAGATTTTTTCTCTACTCTATGTAGAAACACACACACACACACACACACACACACACACACCTTTGTGTTTTTATCCTCTATGAAACAGGAAAAAATAAGTCCTACAAAACCTTGATCCATCATCTGGTACATGGCTTGAGTGCGAACATCTGAAAAATAAAATTCTGTCAATAAATTGTATTTCACAGACTCCATTTAAAGATAATAGTGGTACGAAATTCTCCCAGGATTCAGATTCTATAGTGAGTACAGGGATATATACTAAGTATACTATGATTGTCCAAGTATAAATGTATTTGCTGGGTTAAGGAAATACCATGAAAAGTATGCTATTAAGTAATAAAACATTAATAACTCTAGGTTGCCTATTCTAAGAATAGTCCTGCTATTAAATGTATCATAAAAAATATTAAAACTTTCAGTTAAACCCTTGCCAAACTTGATAACTTCCTCCATAGGGATTCAAACAGAAAGGCTTTAGAAGGAGACAAAAATATTTCTTAGGGGAAAAAAGGGGTTTTGATGGATAGCTTCTATGTCAGTGAATATATTAGAATTGCTACTAAATACAGGAAATGTGGAACTACTATAGAACTACTTCTTTGAAGAAATTATCATAGAAGTGATTGCAGGGTCTGGAGTTGTAGCTCAGTGGTAAAGTGCTTGCCTAGCATATGTGGGACACTGGGTTCGATCCTCAGCACCACATAAAAATAAATAAGTAAAATAAAGGTATTGTGTCCGTGTACAACTAAAAATAAAAAATGTTATTGTAGTATAATTGAATCAAACATTCCAGAAAGTAGAAACAATACCCCACTATTTAAAATTTACACAATTTTTGAAAAGATAAGGACTAGTTAAAAGATTAAATATCCAAAACTAAAGAGAAGCTAACTTGAAAAGCTGAAATCTTGAGACCATTGTGCAAAAAGGATACAAAAAAGATCAGGTATGATGACAAAATACTACAGAGCAAAACTGGGTCTTGTAACTTATGCTGTCTTACTTTGGCAATCTATTTGGCCAACAATTTTAGTATTTTCACCATTTTGATCTGTCTTAGGACTTTTCAATGTATTCCCAAGTAATGATCAAGAATAAACAGCACCCAAGAGTGAAAATGAAGTAAATATTTGCTGAAACTATTGCTGAAAATGTAACGTTGTGTAAATCATCTCTGTATCGCTATATGACCTGAGTAAAATTCTTAATATCTTTAAGCTTACATCCTCATGAATTAAATGATAATAAATAGTATCCCTTCTCTCACAGGGTTTTGTATTTTTAAAATTGCAAGACTTTTTATTTTTAGTACAATGCCTAGTCTATCAAAGGTATTTCCTGGGCATTAATTCCATTTCATTTTATACATGACCATGGAAAATTGCTTTTTCTCTCCTTACCTCCCCCTTTTTTTGGTCAATTATTTCCTAATCTCTAGAAAGAAGCAGAATACTGTTTGACTGTCCCTATCATGTTACTCACATTGCTTTTGTCAAGGTAACCAATAATCTATTCTTGGTCCTCAATTTACCTGGTATCTCAGCTGATCACTCCCTCCTCAGTTTTCATTCTTTCTACCTGTTCTCTTAATGTCTTGCTTGATCTTTTCCAATCTGTTTTGCTGGATTCTTCTTATCTTTCCACTCAAAATATTGTCATGGCTCACTTTTCTGTCCTTGAATCTATGCGCCCTCACTCACTGAGGAATTTCATCTAGTTCCATGGCCTTACCTTTTTAATCTCTTTAATCATCTACGTGACACTTTAACTTGGTTGTCTTAAAACAATGCTACTCAAATTTCTGAACTATTTGTTACCTATTCCCAAGGAGCTAAGGAACTTCAACTATAGAGTACAATTAATGTACTGCTTTCTTCAGTGAGAAAGCCTTCTTTTTTTAAAATTTTTTTTTAGTTGTAGATGGACATAATATCTTTATTTTTGTTTATTTATTTTTATGTGGTGCTGAGGATCGAACCCAGAGCCTCATGTATACAAGGCAAGTGCTCTACCACTGAGCTACAGCCTGAGAAAGCCTTCTTAAAGAAAAAAAAAAACTGAACTAAACAATGTGCTTAGTGATATAGATGATACAGGTTCTAACCTCAGTTCTGCCACTTACTTAACCCACCAAGTAGTTTTTCTACTTCTTTCTAGAGTGTCAGAAAAAGACAAAAATCAATCATGATTTGCAAAAAAAAAAAAAAGGTTGGTAAAAAGAGAAAAAGCAATTTAGTTACATTATACTAATTAGAGGAGTGAGAATATAGTCCCAACAGCTAAACTTGATTATGTATAAACAGAGATTGTAAAAATCAATTTTGCTAAATTAACACTTTACACCTGTGAGCCTTCAGAATGGGCATGTACTAGATAGCAATCAGCAATTTCAGTTACATTACTTTTGATACCAGCTCATTGTTGGGCCTTATTCTTGATTTCCTGAATAGAAATAAAAATTGAATACTGAAAATTTCCCTCTCACTAATAAAAATAATATGACATGAACCATTACTTTTTAAAACATGGAAAATAAATCAAAATAATGACATCTATTTAAGGACAGTCAATTTGTGATTTAAAAGAGCCATGGTTTATGTAATGAAGGAAAAATGATATTCATTTCTGAAGATAATAAATGCTACAACCCCATAATACTCACCAACATGTGAAGGCCAGACAGTTATATGAGGATGGGAATGATACCAGCCCACAACTCTCATGGGGCGACCTGTTAATTCAGCCAATCTGTGTGTTTGTCAAGGTATTTTCAAAAGGTGGAAACTAAGGGCTCAGAAAGCATCCTAAAATTTAAAGTGAAGCCATTACAATTTATGTGCAACAGAAGAATGAAATAAGGTTGATGTAAATCCTCCTAATCCGATTTAGCTGATGTTTGGTCACTCAAATCCTTACCACTGTTATCTGAAAAGAAGCTTATTTAAATCCTCAGATGTCACTTACATTATCAGCTTGAATCTTCTGTCCTGTCTCTCTAGTTCTGGTTTACTTCCATCTTTTTACTAATTTTTTAAAAAAATAAATGACAGCAGAATGCATTAGAATTCTTATTACATGTATACAGCACAATTTTTCATATCTCTGGTTGTATGTAAAGTATGTTGACACCAATTCGTGTCTTCCATTTTTTAAAAAAGAAACACAAAGGTTGTTTGTTTTTGGAGCTGGGGATGGAACCCAACCCAGGGCCTCATTCATGCTAGACAAGCACTTCAGTACTCTACCCCTCAGCCTAACAATTTGTTTTATTCATTGGATTTCTCTTTGGCAGGTTGTTAATGTTTTTGTTGTTGTTTGTGGTGGTGGTGTTGAACTCAGGGGCACTCAATCACTGAGCTATATCCCCAGCCCTATTTTATTTAGAGACAGGGTATCGGTGAGTTGCTTAGCACCTTGCCCTTGCTGAGGTTGGCTCTGAACTTGAGATCCTCTTGACTCAGCCTCCTGAACCACTGGGATTTTATAGGCATGTGCCACTTGCCCAGCTAGGTTGTTAATGTGAACAGCAGCAAATATAGTGAATCCAGAGATCAAAGAGCAAAAACCCCAGTTAAGTCTCCCTACTTGTTTAGAAACATCCCCCTAAAAGAATATCTTCCTCTTTTGTTGTAAAAATAAGTTTCCAATAACTATCTTAAGTTCAAACATGAGAATATTACTCAAAAATTTTTCAAGACTACTACTGCTGTACTATAAGATGTTGATTAATTTTTCTACAAATTATACTAAAACACAATAATCCTATTCATACAACTAAACCTGAGAACAATATTTTAAATGCATTTTTAAATGTTCCAATGCCAAGAGAAATTACTTAACTACTCTTAGCCTGTTTCTTCTGTTGTACACTGTGCAGAAACATGCTTTTACACAACAGTGGAAATATTTAGCATGGGACTTGGCTCCTAGAAAATACTTAATAAATGGTGATTATAATGTTAAAGTGGAGCAATGTATCTACCTATCACCCAATTTTGGAAATGGGCTCATTTCAGTTTGAAAGTAAAATATGTGTTTCCAATAATAAACATCTTTTTTACACAATTATGTCCTTGGAATTTTTACTTTCTCAAGTTTGCCTTTGTTTTTTGAATACCAATGAGTAGATTTTCTGCTTCAAGCCAAGCCAGATACAAAGACACTGGACAACATATATGAACCAACAATTTTCAAGACAATGATCACCATGCAAAGAAGGCCAACAGATGAGAAATGAATAGGGTGAGCCCTTGAGAAGACATCCAGGCCACAGAATAGGAGGGAATTTAAAGTGGAGCTGAGTGGACCATCCAGAGTTTAGGAGATGAGCCACAGAGTCTAGACAGGTGGAGCTTTCCAGGGCAGAGGACCAGAGCGAAGGGAACTGCAGAGGGAGAGAACCCTACATCCCCAGTGTGTCCCATTCGAGTATTCAGCAGACCACAGGGGAGCACAAGCACGTGAGGAAACTACCTGAGGCCTGGGAAAGGCTCTGCCCCTCAAGAGGATGCAAGTAACTGCACAGCACTCAGGGAGGAAAGAGATCAGCAGCTTTCCCCACCCACCAGGTGGGGAAGGTCACATTGACAGGGAGGCATCAGGCAGGGCACTCATGAGGGCCGTGCCCTGTCAGCACAGAAATATGTCTCCTACACTGAGCTGCCCTGGTCTCATGTCCTTCATCCTCAAAGCAAGACCCAGAAGGATCAAACCTTTTCCAAGTCACTCTAACAGCATCCCAGCACACAGCTCAGGGCTCTGTCTAGGAATACAGAAATACCCAGCGGTCCAGGAAGAAGGTGGAACGGGATACAAAGCAGCAGGAAAATGCAACTCATAGAGAGGACAGAGACAAAAGATTAGTGGTTGCTAGGGGATAGGGCTGGTAAGCAAAAAGAACATGGGTTTGTCTGTAAAGGCAGCATGAAGGGGATCTTCATAGTGATGTAAGAATTTTGTATCTTGACTGCTGTAGTGATTACATGTATCTACACATGTGACAAAATAGCATACAATTATATACATTCTATCCATGTAAATGCCCTGGTTTATTATACCACAATTGTGTAAAATATAACCTTCGGGGGAAACCAGATTAATGTTACAGAGAACTTTTTTTTAAAATGTATTTTTTTAGTTGTTGATAGACTTTTCATTTTATTTATTTCTATGTGGTGCTGAGAATCGAACCCAGTGCCTCATGTATGCCAGGCAAGTGTGCTACCACTGAGGCACACCACCAACCCACACAGAGAACTTTCACTAACTTCTCATGAATCCATAATTATTTCAAAAGAAAGAATTAAAAAATCAAGATACAAAATATATACACTAGAGATTGATAAATTTGACTAAATAGAAATGCAATAACTTGGGGCTGGGATTGTGGCTCAGTGGTAGAGAACTCGCCTAGCACGTGCGAGGTCCTGGGTTTCTATCCTCAGCACCACATAAACATAAATAAATAAAATAAACATATTGTATCCAACTACAACTAAAAAAATAAATATAAAATAATGCAATAACTTAACTAGGGAAAACCCAAACATATACAATAAATAAACCGAGAAAAATCACTACCCTTATTGCAAAATGTTAATTTCCTTAATATATACAGTGCCTATAAGTCATTAAAAGAACATTATCAAGTGTTGAGGAGTGATATTAGCCAAACTATATTGTTATATTTTGTGCCTGTATGAATCTGTAACAACAAATCCCATTATTAAGTACAACTATAATGCACCGATAAAAATCTGGAAAGAGGAAAAAAGACCACATTAGCCCTATTAAAAAAAAAGAATATTATGAAATCAATAGAAAAAAGGCAAAGGAAGCAATCAGATAATTCAGATAAAAATACAAATGACTCTTAAATAAGCAAATTTTTGCTCATCATATTGATAACAATAAAAAATCATTGGTAATTTCTTTGGACAGCTACAGGATTTTGATTGGCAGTTAAACCTTTCTAGAAACAAGATTGCTATATTACAAATGCCATTTAAACTTTCATCTAGATATAAAAGAAAAAGTACAACTATATTTTTGTTGAAATGAGTAAACAAGAGCTGCAGTCATAAATCCCTTGGAAGCAGCTAATAAGGTAGTTCTGAAAGTTGAAATAACTGGAACTGGTATCAGATTTCATTGCTGTATCTGATACACAGAGTGAATATTGTGTACTCAGAAACCCTGGAACCAACGGCTATACCAATCTGGGAAAGCAGCAGTGTTGAGATTTAAAACATAAAAAATATATCAACATCCCTCTAGAACAGGAAATTACATGGTTGGCAGGAAATGCATAAAATGGAAGATGAGAAAGCTATAGTAGCAGTTTAACTTTTCATAATGATTTTGTCTCACATATTAAATATTTGTAGATAAAGTTTTATTGAAAGGGTTCACTTGATGACTACTTAAAGAATTATGTGAATAGCAAGGATGTGTATTATGGATATATAATTTTTGATATTTAAAAAAACATTCTAAAAGAATGTAAAAGCTGTATATGTAACTCAGGAAATTCCATCTTTTTCAAATTTTATATTATAACATAAAATTTCTTAAAGGAAATACTCTATTTGTGTAGACATTTTGAGTTATAAATTCTAGAAACTTAAACCTAGTACATTGGAAAAAGAAAATAACATTGTTACTTTTGCACTTCTATGTCTGATTGGGAGATTATGCTATAATAAAAAGAACAGATGCCTAGATACCATTGTATAGTGTATATATTTTTATTGAAATATCAGGTAGTACTATTGATATCTTTATTTTATTATAAATTCCTAATAAAGAATTTAACATGTTTGGATATTAACAGTTCATTGGAAACAAACCATTTTTAACTTCAATTAACTTTAAAAACAAGCATTTTGAACAAATAAAAAGTACCTTTAGGAATTGATCCTATAGATATGTACATGTTTATGAAATGCTGTCTGTACAAGGTTATTCATTGCTGCACTTTAAAACATGTTCATAAGGACAGGTGAAATAAGTGATGGCATCAGAATGAGGCACCTCTGTATATTGAATTGAACAAATCTGATGATACCCTGTTAGGTGAAAAAAAGATGGATACGGCATGTCATAAGCTATCACAAGTATTAAATATTTTTCTTTTTCAGAAAGAAAAATATACATATATATTTTAGTATATAGGAAAAATTGATAATCATTGTTATGTCTCCGGAGGGGCCAGTACCAAAAAAGAAAAGAGAGAGAGATAGAGATAGAGAGAGAGAGAGAGAGAGAGAGAGAGAGAGAGAGAGAGAGAGAGATAGATAGAGAGAGAGAGAGAGAGAGAAGAAATGGGATCATAGAAATTGGTGCTATTGCCTTGTTCTTTGTTTTTGTTTCTTTCCTTACTTACCTAGCCTTGTGCTGCTATTGAGCTAAAGGAAAGAGGGGCACAAAGGAAAGAAGGGAGAGTGGGGAATGTGGAGGAAGGTGAAGGGGAGTCCCCATATAATTAATTGTCATAATATTTGACCCTGGAATCTTTTGACATTTAGGAGCATAAATATATAATTCTTCCAATAAAAGCCACTCAAAAGGAAAAATAGAAATTCTAATTAACCCAACAATTGGATCTGAGGGGTAAATGTGAAAACTGGGGAATAGTTATCAGGAAGAAAATTTGTGAAACCACCTAAAGTAAGATGCCTGCAGAAACAAATCAATGTGGCACAGAAGCCCCAGAGATTCTTTTAGATCAATAAGGATATCTCTGCCTCTGTTGAGGCCGCAGATAGCTGCTCTGGAGAAATTTCTATTCGGTCCATCCTCTTAACATGGCAAGATGATGACAGGATGAATATGAACAATTCTGACGGTGTCAACCTAAAGGAAAACCCAGAGAAATCATTACTTCTGTCTCTGGCCAGTAACACTTCTCTCTCCAACCTCCTGTCAATTAGTTATAGGATTGCATTTTATTATGGTATCAGGTTAAAGATTTCCTTTCAGGAAGCTGACACTTTTCTCATGAAAAAATGAAATGTTTCAAATAAAGAAATCCTTCCTCGATATACATATTTCAGAAACAAAAATATAAAAGTTAGTATTTAGACAAACTTTGCATATCAAATGCTGACAGTTCTTTGAATTAATTCACATTTTCTTCTTAAAAAAATATTTATTTTTTAGTTTTAGTTGGACACAATACCTTTATTTTATTCATTTATTTTTATGTGGTGCTGAGGATCAAATCCAGGGCCCCCGCAAGTGTGAGGTGAGCGCTCTACTGCTGAGCCACAACCCAAGTCCCCTCACATTTTCTTTTTCTTTTTTTTAAATCTTTTTTTTATAGTTGTAGATGGACAGCCTTCCTTCCTTCCTTCCTTCCTTCCTTCCTTCCTTCCTTCCTTCCTTCCTTCCTTCCTTCTTTCTTTCTTTCTTTCTTTCTTTCTTCTTATGTGGTGCTAAGAATCAAACCCAGTGCCTCACATGTGCTAGGCAACTGCTCTCCCACTGAGCCACAACCTCAGCCCAATGCACATTTTCTTTAATAAATAAAAAGCTGTTCAACTGATAATTTGTTGGAAAGCAATTAAGAGTACCTCTGTAAAGCATCTCAAATATTTTAAGTTCTGGCATTATTCAGCTACTTGTAGTTCCCTATTTATGGTCCCATTTCATGCTTGTGTGCCTTTTCACACTTTCCCTTCTGTTTTTCAGCCTTTTTTTTACTTTGTGGACCTTTTAAATTCTTTTAAGTTTCCTGATAATCCTACTTAAAAAAAAAAAAAAAAAGAATTGTGCCAGGCATGGTGGTACACACCTGTAATCCCAGCAGTTCTCGAGTCTGAGGCAGGAGTATCACAAGTTCAAAACAGCCTCAGCAAAAGTTAGGCACTAAGCAACTCAGTGAGACCCTGTCTCTAAATAAATAAAATACAAAATAGGGCTGGGGATGGGGCTCAGTGGTCGAGTGCCCCTGAGTTCAATCTGAGGTACCACCCCCCCAAAAAAATAATAAAATGAAAAAAAGAATTGTTTTTTACCACGTATGACTTCTTTTATAACACACATATGTACACATTATTATTATTATTATTAAATATTTATTCTTAAGTTTTAGGTGGACACAGTATCTTTATTTTACATTTATGTGGTGCTGAGGATTGAATCTGGTGTCTTGTGCATGTTAGGTGAGCACTCTACCACTGAGCCACAACCCCAGCCCCATTATTATTATTATTATTATTATTATTATTTTGTACCAAGGATTATATTTTGTACCAAGGATTAAACTCAGGGGCACTTGACCACTGAGCCACATCGCCACATCCCCAGCCCATTTTGTATTTTATCTAGAGGCAGGCTTCGAACTCACCATCCTCCTGCCTTAGCCTCCTGAGCTGCTGGTATTATAGGCGTGTACCACCATGCCCACCCCACAGTTATTATTTACCCAATTTCCTCCCTTACTAAAATGCAAGTTCCTTTAAGAGCAGGGACTTCATTTTATTTATTTTCTAACACTAGCAACTATTTATTGTGTCTAGCAACCACATTGTCCACAATAAATAAAACTAAAAGCAGGGATAAAAAGATTTATGACCTTTCAAGGAGCAATAAGACAAATAGCTGACTTTTGAAAGCTAAACAGAATGACATCTTATGAGAGCTACAAGAAAATATCTGCAAATCAAGAATCCTATACACAGAATAAAACCTTCAAAAATGAAGGAAAAATAAAGACATTTTCAGATGCACAATGGAGGGAATTCATTACCAGCACAGAATTCTTCAGGCAGAAAGAAAATCACAGAAATGAAGAAAGGAATGATGAACACCATAAAGAGTAAACATTTGGGTATATATAATATATACTAACTGTGTGAAACATTTATCACAATGTCACAAGAGGCTTAAATATTCATAAAATTAAAATGCATGATAGCAATAATCTAAAAGGCAGGAGGGTATACATGAAAATAAAATGTCCTAAGATTCTAGTACAGATGATCCTCAAATTACAATTGTTTTAACTTAGGACTTTTCAACTTGACTATGGTATAAAAGCAATAAGCATTCACTAGAAACTATACTTTGAATTTTCATCTTTTTCCAAGCTAGCAATATGTGATATTCTTTTGCAATGCTGGACAGCAGCAAGGAGCTGTAATTTGCAATCAGTGACACAAACAGGGGAAACAACAGGTATTCTACAGTGTACTATGTTGCTAAGCAATGATATTTGCTAGCTTAAGTGCATTAAATGTAATTTGGGCCTCAATATATTTTACTTACAATGGGTTTATTGGAACATAACCAAATTATAAGTCAAGAAGCATCTGTATTATTGATTTCAAAAAAAGATGCCAACACTAGCTAAAAAGATAAGACTTCTAAATTCATTAAGCTTAATATCTAATTTGAACAGTACAAATTTATACAAAATTCAAGATGAGGTCATGAACTCTTGGAAAAAATCATATTATTAAGATTTATAATATATTTTAGCAGTTGATGCCCAGGGTAAACCAATTCACACAAACAATCTCTCTCATCAGAGAAGGTTTCAGTGCCTAAAAGTAATGAGCAACATTTAATGCACATACAGAGGAAGGGTCCATAAAGGTTGGGGAAAGGAAAATGAGTAAAAGAAACAAATCAGTAACCCAGGAGAGTTCAGAGTTTCAGGGAGAAAGAGAAGTATCAAGAAATAATCTGTTGGATGCAGCAATGAAGAAATGGTTGGAGAAATAGAACTGGACACCAGTCTGTAGTGGGTTTGACTGGGGAAGGTGAAGAAATGATATTAGACCATTCTTTTAAGACCTCTAACTATTGCCAGGTGCATGCCTATAATTCCAGCAGCTCAGGATCAAAGCCAGCCTCAGCAACTTGGTGAGGTCCTAAGCAACTTAGTGAGATCCTGTCACAGAATAAAAAATCAAAAGGGCTGGGGATGTGGCTCAGAGGTTCATTGCCCCTGGGTTCAATCCCCAGTAACACACACATAAAAAAGACGAAAGAAGTCTAGCTATTAAAGGAAGTATGTAGAATAGTTTCTATAGCAAGATATAGGATCGAGTAGGGTTTTTTTTTTTCCTTTCTGAAAATGAGAGTAACTTAAACATGAGTATTTGTATCCTAAGGGAAAAGAGCCAGGTGACATGAAAAGACTGATGATCCAGAAAAGTCTATGAGTAAGTTGCAGCTCTCTGAATAGAAAGAGGGTTTTTTTTTTTTCTTCTTCATAGAAGAAGAAAGGAGGCTAATGCTTAGAGTTGAGAAGTTTGTATATAAGAATAAGAAGTAAGTGGGGTTTTTACCTAATAGCTAGGAGGAAGTAATTCATTTTAATTATATTTTTACAAAAGAATTGGTGTGTGGGCTGGGGATGTGGCTCAAGCGGTAGCGCGCTCGCCTGCCATGCGTGCGGCCCGGGTTCGATCCTCAGCACCACATACAAAGATGTTGTGTCCACCAAAAACTAAAAAATAAATATTAAAATTCTCTAAAAAAAATTAAAAAAAAAAGAATTGGTGTGTGATATATTGGGGGGAATTAACATTATACCACGATTAGGCTAGAGCATGGCAAAAAGGTGGGGTGGGAGTGAAGACAGGAGAAAAGCCAAAGTGGACTAATAACTATGACACTATGGATGGTCTGTATTTGAGAACAGAGGGATTGCATGAGCAGATATTGAGACATGGGATAAAGAGATAACAAACAATGTGAACCAGATGTCAAAGTCTTAAAGAAAAGGCCATAATGAAGGCAGTAATGGCAAGGAGGAGTGGAAAAGGGTGGTATGATAGTGATTATTCATTCTGATCAAGTATTATAAATTGCTACAAACAACAATAAATTACATTCCATTTTCAATGAGTGAATTCTTTGTCAGATTTCATTAGAAAGAACATCCTACCCAGCTATAAAATTTAATAATATTCTCCTGAGGTCATCAGAATAGAGAATAGAGATATCCCTCCCCATCTACAACTTTCTGTCATGCAGTATTCTAGCACAATACCTTTTCAGCAACTGTGCGAATTTCAGTTCCGGTATATGCAAATTTGGAGTCACTCCTACTGGGGATAAATTAGGGGAAAAAAAGAAAACTAAGGTTTGGAATAGAAAATGGAAGTTAAAGCAAAATAACAGGATTAACAGTTTTTGCAATGCGACCTTAGTAGAAACAAAAGAGGAGGGAAAGTAAACTGAGCTGAAGATTTCTAACTTTTAAAGAGGTGGGCTAGGGTTGTGGCTCAGTGGTAGAGGGCTAGCCTAGCATATGTGAGGCACTGGGTTGATCCTCAGCACTGCATATAAATAAATAAAAACAAAGGTCTATCAATAACTAATATTACATATATATATATATATATATATATATATATATATATATATGAGATATGAGGTGGGCTTGAGAAATACATTAAACTATACTTTGAAGTTTATGCAAAAGTTACCCAAAGATTGACCACCACAAGCATTCAAGCTATTATAGATCTTTGGGATCACTGTAGGGGCCACCAAGGAGAAGGCCACTGACCATTTACACGGAGGGGAATTTGGATTAACAGGGGGAAAGCCCTAAATGCATAAAATATCAGATAAAAAGAAAAATACTGGCATGTTACTGGCATTGCAGGGAAAATAGCAAATGAAAACACATCAAGCAAGAAAATGAAAAATAATAGTACCAAATGTAAATATACTGGTAGTGTTGTTAGTATGCTGTCTTTATTGCAGTTAATAAGATTCTATTTATGAGTGCTTTCATAGATTCACTTATGATTTTGGTTCCTCCACTATGTCTTTCACATAAAGGCATATACATCTCAACTGAAAATCCTTCTAGTAAGAAATAAGGCAGAAATGAACCTTCAGAGTTGGGGTGGAACTCAAAGTGTATTACTGATAGAGTTCCAGACTCATAAAGGTAATTTAAGATCCAATCAATATATAATACTGCCAAACCTGTCATAATTTTTATTTAAAAATGCCTTAGAGATATTAAAATGTGAGTAAACAAAAGGTCTTACCTTGTGTCATCATTCAACTAGAGTGGAAAAGAGCAGAAAATATTATTGATCACATTATGCTTATTTGATTACAGGGATGCAGATTATATGAAAATTAGGTCATGTGTTCATACATATCAACAAGAAAGACTGGAGAATTTAGAGAATAAACAGCTGAATTGTATTTCCTCATCCACTTTCTCCCCTCTGCAACACAAAGAAAACTTTCGAGTCTCTGAAAGGGTTTCTTCTTTCTTAGGATCTTTGCGACGCTTTAAAAAGCTTTCTCGCTTTCTCGGTACCTCCACTTCTCTAGAAGGAAGGCTGGTGGCAAAGCAAGGGGCGCTAACCCTGGTCTGCAGGTCTGTTTCATATACTTTGTAGCCTTCATCCTACTCAAATGTATTTCTGACTTGCAATTTTGGGCAATGGGTGATAATCTCTGAAGCAAGTCCCCAACCCCGTGGGTTTATGCAAATCGCTGAGGGCTTGCAGGAGGATGAGCAAGTGTCATGCGACAAGAAGAAAAGGCCACCGCGATTGAGCCAACTAAAAAATGTCCAAAGAGCTAAGTCAGAGGTTCCTGTGGCCTACCAGTCGCCTCAGGGACTACTGGGGACTGCTAGCAGGGTTCCAGCTAGGCAGAATGACCTACTCACCTCCCCTATACACAGTCCCATCACCTCCTCCTTTTCTGTGCTCAGAGCGTGGTTGAGACAAACTAGGAAAGCGTCAGACTCGAGATGAACCGCCTGCACCGCCTGTACCACCTGCACCGCCATCTTGATCCGACCCTGTTCACGTCCGCCTCGGGCCCACTCTGGCCTGACCAACCGGGTGCTCCAGCACAGCTTCTCCAGCACCCGGCGCTCTGAGCTCCTCCCAGGCCTGGCCTTCCGCGCGCGGGTTCCGCGGGGGCGGAGCTTGGGGGAGCGCGCGGCGGAGGGCTGTGGGGGCGGGACTGCTGGTGGTTGCCTGGGGGCGGAGCTTGGGGCGGAGGCGGGGCCTGCCCAGCAGCACCTGGGAAACGCCCGCGCCGGTTGGGGCAGGCGTGGCCACTGGGGCTAAGGGCGGTGGCTGGCGGAGGTCGCGGTATCAGGCCCGCGGCGGGGGCGGCAGGGAGGCGGCGCTCTCCATCCTCAGGCGGAGTGGTCTGTGAGCGGCCCCCCTGCGCCTGGGCAGGCGCTTCTTGAGTGCCGGCGCCCATTTTGCCCGCCCGCTGAGGAGCGCGGTGCGCGGCCTACACGCTTTGGGGACAGCCTTTTGAGGCGACATCTCCGCGAACGCCGGCCTCTTGAGCCAGAGGGACGCTCTTTTGAAAGTCGGTCCTAAAACAGTTAAGGTTTTGTTTTATTTTGTTTTATTTCCAAGTCACAGCCCATGAATCTCGTACAACTCTCCCTGGACCACTTCCGGTTGCCAGCCAGCGCCTTGCAACTTCAGTTTTAGTGACCTCGGTTGGGGTTACCCCTCGGCTTTTCCCGGGCTCACGTCACGATCTTGGTTCGAGTGGCCCGGGGTGGGAGACCTGGAAGTTTTAGCCTAGCTGTTCTCGTGGCGGAGAAATTAGCACAAGAAACGTTATATTCATGTGAGTAACCTTTTGCAGAAACAGTGCTATACTGTATCTGAAAAAGTATCACTCTTGAGCTTGGCTGCTGCTACTTTTTTTAGGTATCTATTTGTTTGGTACGGGGAAGAGGAATTAGGGGACTTCAGGTTTTATTCACGTTCGAATATATCACATCAGATATCCAGAAAACAAGTTTCCTCAGATCTTGTCTCAATGGTACCAGACATTGTAAAATTACATTATGAAAGTAATTTTATTTTGCGGTATGTCATCATGCCAGGGTTCAAAGTACAGATCTTCCAAGTCACAAGTTTACAAATTATACAGGATTTTAGGAATGATTCTATATAAAAGAAAATTACATGCCAGGTTGCCTCCAGAGTCCATCCGCGTTTATGTTTCTGATTTGATTTTCTATTTCTTGTGTATTTCTGTAGACAGGCAGATATGGCAGTACTGGAAAGGGAACATTCCCAAGCTGCTACTTGAAGAGGTGTTGATGCTATGCTCTTTTCTCCCAAGTCAGTTCCAACCCAAGTCTCCCAACAAATAGGGCTCCAAATCAGTGAACTAGCTGTAATGTACATGCTAGCAACCTCCATTTTTTACCTAATGCTTAAAGATCACATGACACAGCTTTCCGTGATAAATTTTGATAATAATGAAGGTTGGAAAATTTTCCAACTGTACGATTACATTGGATCTATCAACATTTTCTCTTAAGTTTTCATTTTATGTTATATATTATTTTCAGTTACTGTGTATGGCTAGTGCACCCTGTCCTGATGGGACAGCAACAGCTATTCTTCTCGTTATTGTTTGTTCAAATGGGATATTTTGAATTTATAAAGTTTATTTAGGCATCTTCAAAGAGAAAAACATGTCTTTTTGTTGTGGGTGTCAATCTCATAACAGAATGACATTGACTAACTTTTATAATTCTTATGGCTACCTTTTACACCTCCAAACTTTTAATGGAGTGCAAAAAAACTATTAACATTTATAGCAAATTTATTATGTGCTAGACATAATTTTCATCCTACACCTCAGGAAATTGAGATGGAGAGAAGTTAACTTGTCCACGGTCACAAAGCTTATGACTTACAGAATCACAGATCATATACAGGTCAGACTGATTTGAGGGATTGTTGATGATTTCACCCAATGTTATTGGATGAGTTTATTAAAAGACTTCAAATAAAATATACATATTCAACTGATTAATGTTTTAAAACTGTTCAAACATCTGAAAATTTAAACAAATTATATTTTTTATAAAAGGCACAAAACAGTTATTCTATAAAGGAAAAAACGTGATGGTTTTACTTAAATCACTACCTAAGGAAACTCTTCTAGATTATATATTATCCATTTAGAACCTAATTTACAAAATGCCTAAAAATAATCTGTCTAGGCCAATATGGTCTCTGGTGTCAATGTAACCTCCTTGGGGAAAATCTGTTTTAGTGGATAACATAGCTATAAATATATCTAAACATTTTAAATACTTTTTTATTTGCAGATGGTTATATTGCTTGAATTGAATTGCAAAGGTTTATATTCTCTGTATTGTTTTGTACCTTGTACCTAAGTTTATCTTGAAGTTTTAATCATTTTTAGTTCAAGGAGTCCTAAATTTTGTGAACAAAGATCTATGCAAAAACCCCAAAATCACTAGTCAAATAAATTTGGGAAATATTAAATAGCATAGTTTTTTTTTACTGCATAACTTGCTGGAGCTTTTGCTGTGGTAGTATCACTCTCCAATATTCCCAAAATTATTTGACTAAGGAAAATGTTGAGAACAAGTGTTCCAAGAATCATGTTTAAGGAAATGGTGTTCCATTCATGCAGCTTGTCATTTTTATAGGCTTTGATCTGATTCCTCTTGCTCAGCCTTTGCATTTCTCTACTGAGAATGTTGTTCATTCCTGGTTATGGTGGCTTCTCTGTCCCTTGATCACTGCTGTTGTCGTTCTCTGAGTCACCATGCTTTCTGATTGGTAGCAAGCCCAAGTTCAGGGTAATGTTCTGAGGTTTGTTTCCAGGCTTATCTTGCCCAGTGCCCAGCATGTTAACCTCTGGGTCAAAGCAACACAGCACATTGCCTTTCTTCTGAGAATATTTTGTAGTAACTCATAAGAACCTTTGTAGTGATTCATAGTAACTCAAAATATCATCTCCAATTTGTTTACCCTCTCTGCCACTGTAATTATTTTACTTTATGTAGTATATCCAATATAAATTTGTTTTCATTCAAAAGAAATTTAAACATTAATGTGTTGTTGTGATAGGATCTATGAAGTTGATATGGTCCTGAAACCTTTAACACTTGGCTTCTAGTTTAAAAAATATTGGCAACAATTATGTTTTTTTTTTTTTTTGGTGCTCAAAATCAAGGTTTTAACTTTTTATTTTGAAAATAGCATATACTGGATATTGTTTGTGACTTTTCTTTCCAAAGCTCTGGGAAAGAGAAGCAGAATGATTGTTATCTGCTATATGGAAAAATGGCTTTAAAATATAGAGACTTATGTATTTTAGACAAGTCGAAAGGAAGATGAAAAGTATGAAGCTTGAAATGAACATGGTATTTGGGGGAAAGTTTATTTTGAATACAGTGGTAGTGGTGGTGCTTGCTGGAATAGGTGACAGATAGGATATAAGAATTGAAGAAGAAGAAGGAAGAAGAAAACCAAGATAATTCATAAGTTTTGAGTGTACAGGATCAGGAGAGCTATTGTCAGGATTTGGTTAAGGTGAAAGAGTTTCATCTTTAATGAGGAAGCACATTCATGTGAAAACAGCAGCATACACCAGGCTCAGAATCAGATCTACTCAGGGTATGGTGGGTGAAACAACTGTGATGCTCTCAAATTATTCACAAAAGTCAAACCATTCCTTACCTGTATAAAAGTATTTTTCTATTTTCCTTTTTAGGAAAGGAAAACTTAACATTATTAAGGAAAAAATTAGACTCAGATTGTTATCCTTGTAAAAGAGGGCTTGGTTTAGTTTGATTTATTCTTATTTCTGACTTTTTCCTGTTCTGCATCATATGAGTTCTGACATCTGGTTTGCTCTGGACAATCTCACTCTGAAGGCTCTAACAACCTCCCAAGCTATGCTACATTTTGTTTCCCACCTAATGGCCACCTAATGTGAATAGGAGGTCTTTGTTTAGTGGAACAGATTCCCCATTGCCCTATCTTCTCTGAAAAAGGTAGACCTTTACCTTTGAAACTATGCCACAATGCTGAGTTAGGACAAAAAGATTCATTCGTGCAAAATGCATCTCAAATTATTGTAAGTTCCTAAAATGAGATCCCAGCCTGGGCAGAGGATTGTTATGGAAAGAGCTTGTCCTGCCACCCAAATATTTTGGGAATTGTGCTTCCTTTAGATCTCTCAAAGGGTAGAGGGGCTTTTCTGGCTTGGGAGATAAAAATTTAAACCTATGCCTCAATGGGAAAAAAATGGACTCTTGTAACATCTTGCAGCATTAAGATGAAACAAAGATCTAGATGGATAACTATGATTTGTTCTCATTCAGCTCTACATCTCCATGATCCCTAAAGTCTCTTGCAGCTCAGAAACTCCATGAAGCTACCCTAAATATTTTTTCAAACATGGAAATCATCTTCTAGAAATGCCCAGCTGCTATAGGTAACCTTTTCTAGTGATCTGATAAATAGGTCCTTTGTCCTTAAATTTTAAATTCCAGTTTAGAAATCCATGCATGTGGTTCAGAATCTTACATTTATTAAAATGGAAACTGCTTGGAAGTGGCTTTTACCTAAGGAATATGGCATGCATATGTCCATGTTACTGACTTCCTGCCAAAATACTGCATCCTTAGGCACTCTCCTGTGCATTCTCTATTGCTTACATTTTGTCAGACATTTCTTTGTGAATGCAAAGAATACGAGACCAGTACCTAGCCTCCTGTACTGCTTATCCTAGGTTTCCACAAAACTCACTTAGAATTCTTGAGTGCTTTGCAGTCAACAGTTAGCATTACCCGAGGCTTTGCCTGAATGTTTCCTCAGTGTCACTTTTAGTCTTGCAGAAAATTTCAGATGTCTTTGGTTTTATTTAGGCTGTGCAAATAGACATCTATGGGGTTTGGTTCTGATTGATGGTTCCTAGTCACAGGGTACCTTACTCACTGGTGAGTTATTCGAACCCCCAAAGTCACACCTGTGTCCTGTGCACGGGTGCTACAGGCTTAGGTGGAGAAAAGCAGGGCTAGAATTGGAACCCAAAGCCCAGAATGGCAGGAGAGGATGTGGGGGCTCCACCCGATCACCTCTGGGTTCACCAAGAGGGTATCTACCGCGACGAATACCAGCGCACATGGGTGGCCGTTGTGGAAGAGGTAACTTTTCATTTTGCTTATTTCTTTGATTTTGCTTTCAAGTAACTTGTTTTCTAACCAGTCTCAATATTCTGAAATATTTGTGTGTGTGTGTGTGTGTGTGTGTTTTTTTGTTTTTTTTTTTTTTTTTTTTTTTTTTTTTTTTTTTTTTAATCATTCCCTTCCATTAGGAGACAAGTTTCCTAAGGGCACGAGTCCAGCAAATTCAGGTTCCCTTAGGTAATGCAACTAGGCCAAGTCATCTTCTAACCTCCCAGCTACCTCTCATGTGGCAACTCTACCCTGAGGAGCGCTACATGGATAACAACTCTCGCTTGTGGCAGATACAGCATCATTTAATGGTACACATATTGCTTAGTCATTTCCCATTGTATTAGAACTCTCATAACAGAGTACTCTATAAACTTTTCTTTTCCTGACAGGTCAGGGGAGTACAGGAGCTGTTGCTTAAGCTTTTGCCTGATGATTAACCCGGTATGTATTTCTATTTCTCCCCCTTCCTCCCCTTCTTTGTTTTCACTCTATTCCATTGTGGTGATTTTAATGATTTTTTTTTTCCAGGTGCTGGGATTCTAGGAAGATATGCTCCTCTGTTCTGTTCAGTATATGGCAATCACTTCATCCACCACTGCAGTGCACCCACCCTTGGGCCCAGGGGGGAGGGCATGGGTTGAAAAACTCATCAAGAACACAGAAGTTTAGGAAGGGTTATGAAGAATACTGCAAGTGACACTGCAGAGAGAGGGTTATGCAGGCACAAAGTGAGTCAACAAAAGCATTTAGTAAGGATACATAACTTGAAATTGACTCCTTTGGAAATTGCCATAGAACCTTTAATGGACATCATCGGCTGGAACTGGGATCTGATGAATCCCACAAAAATCAGCACGTGCTACAGAACAGATGCCCTGATCACCAAGGACTTGGTACTGATTTAGAGAGAAGAGAGCAGCTCCTAGCAGCATCAACATCTATTTGTCGCTTATTTGCCCTGCAGCACATTCACCTGCCTTTCCTTCTCCCATTCTGTAAATATCCTAGGTTTTGCTCTGGTGTTTCCCATCCCAGTACTGACCTAATTTGTATCTATTGAGAACTTAGGGGATTCTGAAAAAAAAATTATTTGCATTGATGAAATTAGCTACAAAGGCTTCTAGGCCTTTATTCTTTCTGAAATTGTGTCTTCCAATTATTAGAAGTTACACATCAAAATTTTAGGCACTAAAATTCCTTCTTTGGTTACATATTTTAAATAAGCTGGTTTCCATAAGAGCTCCACAAACTCATTTTAGCTGCTTAAGCAATAAGCACCTTTCTCAGGACATAGTAGACAAACATTGCTGATTTCTAGGAAAGGACTTACCACCTATAAAGAATTTCCTGAGTCAAAGTAGTTATAACAGTTTATATACATTAAAATATGTTTTTTTAAAGCATTGGGCTGGGTGCAGTGGCAATGCGCCTATAATCATAGCTCCTGGGCAGGTTGAGGGCAGGTTGAATTCAGGAGTTCCAGACCAACATCAGCAATATAGCAAGACCCTGTCTCAAAAAAAAAAAAAAAAAAAAAGCGTCTTGGTAATAATAATCACCATGTTTTGAATCTTTACTTACTGCCTTCTAGACACTATTCTATACATTTTATATCTTTATCACATTTAGTTCTTCCATCAATCCTTTGAGGTAGGTATGATCTCATTTTACACATGAGTAGTGAGGAAAAAAGGCTGAGGAAATTTAATCATTTATTAAGGGTTTTCTCTCTGAATGATACAAATGGGCAGCTGTCTAGGCCCATTGACCTGCAGCATCAGTTCCTCTGGCCCAACATTGGTTTACAATATGCAGGACGAGTACATTGAATTTAAGGATTTTTTTCCCATGTAAAGCTATTTATTCTAACCTTAAAGAACTGGATATTATAAAAATACAGTTGGTTCATCCTACACGGGAAGAGTATTTATAGTGTAATTTTTAATTGTCTCTGAAGAAAATTCCATGTAAGGAGCTTTATTTATGAGTAAAAAAGCAAAATAAAAATCATTTTTCTTGTTTTAGTTTTCTGGATATGCCGCAAAAGGATCCGTGCCAGAAACAAGCCTGTGAAATACAGAAATGTTTACAAGGTAGTATGTAAAATGCTTTTAAGATATTTTTTACTTTATCTGTAAACTGTAAGAGACCAATTATTCTTTTATACAAAAAATAAAAAGTGATATGCTCTAAGTTAGGGGTGCTCAATCCTGATTGTACATTAGAATCATCTGGAGAGCTTTAACGACTTGCCTAAACAATTAAATCAGAATTCCTGGAGCTAGGGTCTGAACATGAATCATTCTGGAGAGTTAAGCAGATTTTATTTTGTTTTGTTTTGTTTTAAACAACGGATGAAACCCAGTGGTGCTTAACTATTGAGGCACATCCCCAGCCCTTTGTATTTTTTATTTTGAGATAGGGTCTTGCTGAATTGCTGAGAGCCTTGCAAGTTGCTGATGCTGACTTGAACCTGTGATGCTCTTGCCTCAGTCTCCTGAGCCACTGAGATTACAGGTATGCACCACCATGTCCTGCATGAGATGATTTTAATGCACAGCCAGAGTTGAGAATTCCTGAGCTGAGCAAAGTTCTTTTTATTTTGTTTTTTCCACATAAATTTTGAGGGAATTTTAAACACATGGCAACAAGAATACATACAGATGGCTGGGCGCAGTGGTGCATACCTCCAATCCTATTGATCAGGAGGCTGAGGAAGGAGGATGGAGAGTTCAAGGCCAGCGTCAGCAACTTAGCAAGACTCTGTCTCAAAAAACAGAAAAAAGAGATAGGGATGTAGCTCAGTGGTAGAGCACTCTTGGGTTCAGTCCCCAGCACTGAAAAAAAAAGCCAAATAGATAATTAAAATGAAAAATTTTGGCTAAAAGAAAAACAGTGAATTTGAGTAAAACTTAGATAAAAAATGGCTGTGAAAAAAAAATTCCTGGGAAGTAGTTCCCTACAATTAGCACATGTCTATTATTCTAAAGAGCCAGTTTTTGCTTTTTTAAAAATATTTATGTTTTAGTTTTAGGTGGACACAATATCTTTATTTTACATTTATGTGGTGCTGAGGATTGAACCTAGTGCCTCGTGCATGCTAGGCAAGTGCTGTACCACTGAGCCACAACCCTAGCCCCTCCCAAGAGCCAGTTTTTTCTTATCAAAATCTTACATACATATAGAGGCTGGGGCTGTAGCTCAGTAGTAGAACACTTGCTTAGCTTGCGTGAAGCACTGGGTTCAATCTTCAGCACCATATAAAAATAAATAAATGTACTGTGACCATCTATAACTAAAAATAAATTTTCAAAAAAATATTTAAAAAAATTGCATACATAATATTTGCCAGATTTTATCAAATGTTGCTTTTCAAATAATACTGGATAATATGAGTAAATTTTACAACATATCTTTATATATACACAAACACACATATATATATTTACATTGCTGCTTTGTTTATAATAGTGATGAACAGAATCATATCATGCAATGATTACACAATTAAAGGTTATAAACCAATTTTTGAACCCCTAAAAATCCCCAATAAACAAAAAGTGTGATGATTATATAGTGGTGATGATTACATGCTTAAATGTGGTAGGTTTTGGTCTAGATCTCATTCTTTTACCAAACTGTTCCTAGAGGGGTGGTGATTCTAGTGTTCTGTTTCTAATTTAAAATAAGATCTAGTATAGTATTTTATATTTGATAAATTACATACAAAGTATTTTTATTTTTCTAAAGATAACCATTTAGCTCATTAAAACATTTGTTTTTGCTACTAGTTATATAGTATTTCTAATAGGACCTAGAAAGGAGTCTTCCAAACAGTTGTTTTTTTTTTTTTAATATTTATTTTTTAGTTCTCGGCGGACACAACATCTTTATTGGTATGTGGTGCTGAGGATCGAACCCGGGCCGCACGCATGCCAGGCGAGTGCGCTACCGCTTGAGCCACATCCCCAGCCCCCCAAACAGTTTTTTTTTAAATGTTTATTTTTTAGTTGTAGTTGGACACAGTACCTTTATTTTATTTTTATGTGGTGCTGAGGATTGAACCCAGGGCCTCGCACATGGTACATGAGTGCTCTACCAATGAGCCACAACCCCACCCCACAAATATTTTTTTAATTTGTTTTAATTAGTTATACAAGCAACATTTATTGTTGCTTGTATTCTTGATAACTGCCATTCTGACAGTGAGATGAAATCTTATTTTTTTAGTAGAATGTATTTTGACACATTATATATAAATGAAGTATAATTTCTCATTCTTCTGGTTGTATGTGATGTAGAATCACATGTCCTTATGTACATAGGACATAATGTAATAATATGTAATATAATGTAATAATGTCAGATTCATTCTACTATCCTTCCTACCCCCAAACACCTCTCCTCTCTTCATTTCCTTCTACCTAATCCAAAGTAATTGTATTCTTTCCTAGCTACTCCCCATTTTGAATTATCATCCACATATCAGAGAAAACATTCAGCCTTTGGTTTGGGGGGATTGGCTTATTTCGCTTAGCATGATATTCTCTAGTTCTATCCATTTACTGGCAAATGCCATAATTTCATTATTCTTTGAGGCTGAGTAATATTCCATTGTGTATATATACCATATTTTCTTTATTCATTCATCTGTTGAAGGAGACCTAGGTTGGTTCCATATTTTAGCTATTGTGACTTGAACTGATATAAACATTGATGTGGCTGCATCACTTTAGTATGATGATTTTAAGTCCTTTGGGTATAAACTGAGGAGTGGGATAGCTGGGTCAAATGGTGGTTCCATTCCCAGTTTTCTGAGGAAATCTCGATATTGCTTTCCACAGTGGTTGCCCCAATTTGCAGTCCCACCAACAATGTATAAGTGTACCTTTTCCCCCACAACCTTGCCAACATTTATTGTTACTTGTATTCTTGATAACTGCCATTTTGACAGTGAGATGAAATCTTATTTTTTAATTGCATGCATGTTTTAAGTCATTATCCTTTTTTATACTATTATTTTATTTTTAAGTGGTGCTGAGGATCGAACCCAGTATCTTGCACATGCTAGGTGAGCATTCTACCACTGAGCCACAACTGCAGCCCGTGAGATGGAATCTTAGAGTAGTTTTGATTTGCATTTCTCTAACTGCTAGAGATGTTGAACATTTTTTCACATGTTTGTTGGTTAGTTGTATATCTTCTTCTGTGAAGTATCTGTTCAGTTCATTGGCCCATTTATTGATTTTTGTTTTGGGTGTTAAGTTTTTTGAGTTCTTTATATATCGAGATTTGTGCTCTATCTGAGGTGCATGTGTAAAGATTTTCTCCCATTCTGTAGGCTCTCTCTTCACATTATTGTTTCTTTTGCTGAGAACAATCTTTTTTAGTTTGAATTCATCCCATTTATGATTCTTGATTTTCCTTCTTTTGCTTTAGGAGTCTTATTTGAATTCATCCCATTTATGATTCTTGATCTTACTTCTTTTGCTTTAGGAGTCTTTTTAAGGAAGTCAAAACTTAGGCTGACATGGTGAGGATTTGGGCCTGCTTTTTCTTCTATTTCACACAGGTTCTCTGTTCTAGTGCCTAAATCTTTGATCCACTTTGAGTTGAGTTTCATGCAGGGTAAGAGATCAGGGTTTAATTTCATTTTTGTTAGCACCATTTGTTGAAGAGGCCATCTTCTCACCAATAAATGTTTATGGTGCCTTTGTCTAGTGTGAGATAACTGTATTTATGTGGGTTTGTCTTTGTGTCTTCTATTCTGTACCATTGGTCTACGTGTCTACTTTGTGCCAATACCATGCTGTTTTTGATTCTATAGCTCTGTAGTATAGTTTAATATCTGATATTGTGATGCCTCCTGCTTCACTCTTCTTGCTAAGGATTGCTTTGGCTATTCTGGGTCTCTTATTTTTCCATATAAGTTTCATGATTGTTTTTTTTTCTAGTTCTATGAAGAATGTCATTGTAGTATAGTTGGCATTTTAATAGGAATTGCATTAAATCTATATAGCACTTTTGGTAGTATGGCCATTTTGACAAGATTAATTCTGCCTATCCAGGAGCATGGGAGATCTTTCCCTCTTCTAAGGTCTTCCTCAATTTTTTTTTTAGTGTTCTTACTATTTTTTAAAGCATGCTCCTTGATTAATATATCTAAAAACGCAAAAATATTCTAATTTTTAATTTTCATTAAAAACATTTTATTAGTACGTTATAATTATACATATTAGTGGGATCATTGTGAGATGTTCACTCATGTATATAACATAATTTTTTCAACTCTGTTCCCTAACAATTGCCCTTTTTATCCCTTCCTCGATATCCTGGTCCCCTTTTTCTTTTTTAATGGTCTCCCTTCTGTTTTCATGAGATCCCCTTTTTTATTCCTGTTTTCTCTCTAGCTTCTGCATATTATCTACTCTTGACTCTCTGAGTTTGACTTATTCACTTACCACGATGTGTTCCAGTTTCATCCATTTACCAGCAAATGACATAATTTACTCTTCTTTTCAAATTTTTTTAAAATTGTTGACAGACCTTTATTTATTTGTATGTGGTGCTGAGAATCAGACACAGTGCCTCACACAAGCCAGGCAAGTGCACTACTGCTGAGCCCCAGCCCCAGCCCAATTTCACTCTTCTTTATGACTGACTCAAACTCCATTGTATATGTATACCATGTTCTCTTTATCCATACATCTGTTGACAGACACCTAGGCTGCTTGTATATTGATATAATATGCTGAATTTAGTTCTTTCAGAATGGTATGGCTGGGTCATGTAGTGCTTCCATTCCTAGTCTTTTGAAGAACCTCCTACTGATTTCCATAGTGGTTGTAGTAATTTACAGTCTCATCAACAGTGAATGAGTATTCCTTTTACCCTACATCCTTACCAGCATTTATTACTTTTTGTATTTTTTATATTCTTTTTTTTTAAATATTTTTAATATTTATTTATTTTTTAATTCTCTGCGGACACAACATCTTTGTTTGTATGTGGTGCTGAGGATCGAACCCGGGCCGCACGCATGCCAGGCGAGCGCGCTACCGCTTGAGCCACATCCCCAGCCCCTATTTTTTAT